GATGCTGGAAGAGAGGGTAAAAGTGATCAAAATGAAAGACGGAGCAAGCAAAATAAAATACATTTTCCAAGAAATTGATGTAAGTGAAAGTGAATGCTGATCGTAAATTTCGCAATTTCTTTCCCTTTTTTTCTTTCTACACTGACAATATGAAGTGTCAAATAAGTGTGTGCTCATACTTATGTACTATTGGAATAAAAATAGAGTACACAAACGTTTGTGTGTGCGTGTACACATACGTTTGTGTGTGTGGGTGTGTGTGTGTGCTTACATCTGAGATCAAATTTGCTACAGTGAAAAACCCCCTGTTGTGAAAAATTTCTTGCTGCAAACATGATTTCGTTGTAGAGGAGTTTCACTGTAGTGGCAATTTGGACAGTGACTCAAGGCGGCATTCTCCGAGGGCTGGCATGGTGCCCACTCATTTCCAGGGGTCAAGTTAAATAAGAATGAATAAATGGCACCCTCTCCTGGACAAGACTCAAACCGGTGCCCTTTTTTCTCGCCTGCTCGCACCCACGATTCATCACCTTTTGGCTCTTTGCACACAACATTGTGACGCTCTTCAGGTTTTCATTCCAAAAGTAACACAATATCAGTTCCAATGTGCGTGTTCTCATCCACTTTTAATCACATTTTAATCACCTGCGGATTTGCCAATTGTTTACCTCACTCGTGATGACATAATCGCAGTGCATGAAAACATTCGATTTAAAGTAGAAATAGACTCGTCAAAGAAAGATTCAAGAACTAAAAATGAACTACATTTGGATTACAAAGATTCACCAGTGTTCGGATCCGCTGACAATATTGGTTCTTTTAAGGTAAGAAGGAGGGAAACTTACCCATTATATCCATGTAAGGCAGCACTACATTCACACTGTGAGCCTTTTTTTTCCCCCTGCTTCTTTATGGACCCGAAGCAAATAATCTGCACAATTTAGATGCCTGTCGGGACTTTATTTGATGAGCATTGCAATGCCAACCACAAATTTTGGAAAAAGATTTAAATACGCATTTGAGAATATTTTCGATATTTTGTACTTAAACAATTAGAAAAGTTTCTAGTAACATTAAGACAAGGCCGCATGCATATTCAATAACTCACCGTAACCGGGACTGTTTATTAGCATATGGATAATTTAGTGAATATATATAAAACCACAATGTTAGATAGAATATTGACTAAATATTGTCCTATCCGTGGAGGTAAGACAAGGTCCTACATTTAGACTTTTTGGGGGAAGCCATGCTGTCTGTGGTGGCCCAGCTGAAACTGGCACTGACCCTGTATATTCATGACGTAATACGAGAGTTTTGGATACTTATTTCCTATTTAGCTTTTTTTTTTTTTTTTTTTTGCATTATAAAATCAAACTGAATATTTAACACTTAACATTTTCCCTCTTGCTGAAGCCATTCCTCATGGAAGGATTTAATATAATGTGCAAAAAAAAAAAAGTGCAGCACATTAAAATGATCAGTGATGATTGATCAATTTAAGCAGATAAATCGAAAAAATATTGAATACTGTATTTAAAAAAGGAGGAACAACATGATTTCATCATATTTATTTATGAAATCTGTTCTGGACCACTTTTGGCCAGTATCACTGAACTTTGGGTAGCCCAACATCGTCATGTCGCGGCCACTGTTAATGTAGAACCCTGTAAGAGGAGGCCTACCCGTTAAAGCCTTTCCCTAAATTGCAGCTTGAAAAAGATGTTTGTGAAGGGTAGTTTGGGAAATCCCTGGTAACACTGTGTCGAATAATGCAACTTTTCAAAAAACGCAAGACACTTTTTGTCATTGTGGGAGATCACTATTGGTCATGGATTTTTCCGGATGTGAAAGTTAAAGATAAAATCTGCAGTAAATCCCAAAAATGAGATTTGTTTGAGTCATGGAGAGGAGGCCCATCATGAGACATTTGATCAGAGAGCTACATAAAAATAAGCATGTCGAAATTAATTTATCTAGAGGATCTGGCTGTGTGGATTCTCAATCAACTAGGTCATGGTAATCCGCAGAAGAATGGAGGCAATTGGTCTCTTGGATGTTGAAGACTGTTCACCTTTCATCAAAAAGGCTGCTTCGGTTTTAAATTCTAGGTGCGGCGCTCCCCTATTTACAAAATGTCTCAGGTGGGTGTGCTCTCTGTGTGTTACCAAAATTAACTAACCATGGCTCATTCAGACTTTCCTACTGTTTACTGTATTGGACTTTTTCCAGCCTTCTATCTCACGTCTTCTGCCACTCCTGGAAGAATTCTTCCAGGATCTTCAACAGTTCTGTCGTCACGTTTATCTTGATATCATGCCAGTCTATGAAAGGAGTCTCCTTGGGGAGAATCCCATAGACCGAGACCAGCTGATTAGGGAGGTTACTACAGCACAGCAATGTTGACCTCAGCATTATGAGCAGGCACAGGGTCATGGTGAAATAGCCACGAATTGTCCTGCTACACTCTCAACTCTCACACGTCATAGACATGCTGCTTGATCATCTGGTCCACATTTAAGTGGAGAATTTGTAGATTGAAATATATCTTTTAGAAAATCAGCCCTGAAACTTTTAAGACACACCTCGTACACTGAAGCGAGCAAGCTTCGCCACTTATTTGGAGAACTATTGGTCGACACACTGCAAGCAACCTGCCTCATTTACTGTAGAATCACTACATGCAACTTGCAAGCGTGTGAAAAGGCGATACGGGAAAGACTTTTGGCAGTGTGTTTTCCAATGTTTAGGTGTGTTTAAATCATAGGGGAGGAATAAAACAGCTTTTCTGTGTAGCCATTTTTTTCCCCAATGGTCGTTCTATCTTGCGGATTTTCACCTATTGCGCAAGGGTCTGAAACGTATTCCCTTGTGATAAACGAATGTTCGATGAATGAGCAAATTCAAAGTTGAACCAGTGCTGGGAAGGCTTGCATTTGTGTTCTGAGGGTTCACTGTGCATTGACTCTCAGACATTGGCTAGAACCTGCTTAAGAACAAGGAGGCAAAGAGGTGTACCTGGATATCAGCTTCCCTCTCGGGCATTGGTCCAAAATGCTGAAGGATCTGGTTGTGGAATCGGATCTTGAGGTTCTGGAACCAGACTCGGGCTTGATTGTATACAGCATCATGAAGCTCTTGTAGGCTCTCGAGCTCTTTTCTGGTCTCCACCTAAAAGCCAATATTGAACACACCGGTGACTTTTGGGTTCTCTGAGGTGCCGAGTGAAAGAGGAAATGACATGATTACAGTAGGACAGGGTAATATTTCAGCACATGCTTCGTACCCGAGTGTCTTCCAAATGCTCAATGTCAGCAATACTATAACCGTCCTTCATTCCTCGGGACAGGACTCTGAAGCGCTTGCCTCCAATAGTGTCCACCACCGAACGACCATCAGGCAGGAAGTGAACACTGCGGATGATGAGCATACATCCATGGTCGACAAACCTGCCAGGGTGGATGCCACAGTTTTAATTGTGTAAAAATATTTGGCACAGTAACCTCTTATGCAACTAATGACTGGATACGATCGGTCACATGAACAAGATTAATTGTGTGCCAATCCATCAAGTGTTGACGTCTCTTAAAAGTGCGATGTGCACAAAATCCAGACACACCGTGTCTCCACGCTTACCCTTTCTGGGGGTCGTTAATACACATCCCAAACTGCCGCGTGCCAGTGTCCATGCAGCGGCGGATCATGAGGCGATAACGTGGCTCAAATACATGCAGCGGGCAAGGCACCGTGGGGTATGCCATGGTACATACAAAGATAGGCACGTTCTTTGTCAAGCTGTACCCAGGACAGAAAGACAGAAGATCATTAGAATCTTCCTCTGAAATGAACGTAAGGCAGGCAGAGCGAGAGCTAACTTACTCAGAAAGCTCTCTGGTCTCCTCCAGGTGAGTTTTGGTCCTCTCCTCATACTCCTGACCAAAATACTGTTTGATCAGCACATCCAGCACACTTGTCACACTGTACTTTCTACAGGCTAGATACTGCCGAGGAGAGGTTTATGATTAATCACACAATACAAACCTTAATAGACAAAAGAGCAGTCACCCTGTGGGGCCCCTGACCTCTTTTAGGCTCTCTTTGCACAGTGGACAATGTGGCGTGTAGTCCAAACAGCGTTCCAGACAGATTTTACAAAAGGTGTGGCCGCACGGCGTCGTCACAGGCTCATAGAATAACCTAATTTAGATAGAGAGTAGATCAGATCAGACATCTCTTACAAAGTTGATTTTTAAAGTACAGTTTTACTTGATCGCATCAGCAGCAAATGTATTATCACATCAACACAATTGTATGCGCCCCAAATTATTCTTACCCAAGCCGTACTATGACTAATGCTATAATTAGGCTCACCTCATGCAGAGAGAGCACTCAAGGTCATTGGTGTCAATGAGATCCTTTCGAACACTTCTGTAAGTTTTAGCTGCGACTGCTGTTTTTTGGCAATTTCTCACACCTTGAAAGAAACAGAGAACATCACGTTACTCACGCTCTATGATTCATGTACTTGTAATGAAAACAGTTGGCAATTACAATACAAAACAGGGAGGGGGAGAAAAGTGCTGAATAATACCTTGTTTTTTATACTTGCTGCTTCCATTGGCCACAATGCACGGCCCAACGTCAGAAACGGACAACTTCCGCTTCAGCAGACTCGCCTTCTCCTGGTCCCCAAGCTGAGGGGCGGAGCAGACTCTCTTCAGACCCTGCTCGCCAGAGGCGGAGCCATGAGAACGCAACGAATGAGCTCTACTCAGACTGGGACGCTCAAGACTCTCCCGGCGTTTCTGTGGCACAGAATCAACAATTCAAGTTAATACATGTGATATCATTGAAATATGGTTCAAATGATTAGGATGGATGACTAATCTGACCCCCTGCTTGTCTTTTGGGTGGTGTGCCGACACAGCGCGGACCTGGTGCTGGCTTTGTCTTTGGATTGGAACATGTGACTTGACTTGTGCGTCGGCCACAAGGGTTTTATTGCGCAAGTGGTGCGACGTATTCTGCGCTGTTTCCCTTAGGCCCACCTTCACGTTGTCGTTAGCCGAAGAGAGCAGGTCACATAGAATCTGTTTTTGAAAAAAGAAAACAAAACAAACAAACAAAAAAAAAAAACAGCGCATAGCATGTCAATGATGTAGGTCTTAAGAACTGCAGAAATCCCAAAATGTTTCTTTCCTAATGTGAGCCCCATCTTGATAAGGGAGGGTGTTCTTTGGACCATCAATGAAGACCTCTCATGGAAACCATTAAAAAAAAATCTAAACCACTACTTTGCTGCACCTGCAGCAAAGTAGACCTTTGATTCAGATTTGGGCTGGGAAAACATCGACCACAAAAATTGGTCGAGACAAATCAACGGTTCCTGTATTACTGCGAAGCGGAGCTGGCAGAGCTTGGAGACTTAAACACGGGAATGTGATCGATAAGATAATCGATTTTGAAAGGATTTGTTTGTGACTGCCACAATTCAGATTCAAACGAATTTGCAAACACATTACTTACTTTGATGCAGAATATCATCATTTAGCAGGTTATTTTTCCTGACATGCCCCCAATGGAGGAGGAAAAAAAACATTTTCACATGTGACTGTATGAAGTCATCCAACTACCATGCTCGTTACAGAGAAAATAAAAGATTTTTTCATGATCATTATCAAAAAGTGCACATCCAATTTGATACAAATGGGGTAGCCTAATGGAGGGTCCATGACGCATGTGGAGAATCACACAAAAATTATGCAACAGTGGCAGTTTCGGACTAAAATATCGTGAGCAGATAATGGTGCTGTGAAAATGCAGGTTCAACTACACACACTGTTCGCCTCTTGCATAACTGCGACACAGTGCTGGTTTTGTTGAGTGGAGCTAAAGTCATTACATGAAGTCACAAGAGCTGACCTTTATCATAAGCAAAAGGAAGATGATCCAGCTGAGACAAGCGAATGTGTCATTTGTTTATCATGGCTTATTTCTCAAGTAAATGTAATACAATCACTCTTGTGTATTGTCGATTTTAGAATGTTGATCAGTGATCATTCATTTCTGGATTTCGATCTGGGATGTTTTCATCCACAACAGCTTATTGACCCAGTTAAGATGAGACATCTGGCGTCAAGACCAGGCTAGAATGCCACACCTTTGTTTTTTTTAATTGGTGCCTTGGCTGCCCTACAACTTTGATATTGCGACACCACCTTCAAGGCTACGTGCAATGTGTAATGTTTATTAGGATAATGATACAAGTACAAAGAAAAAAAAAATATGGCTTGATGCAGCAAAGACGGAAGACCAGAAATGTCTTCCATAGAAGTTCACGGAAGAATAAGCCACACGGATGGCAAACATCACTTGTTGTGTGTGGGTAAATACAAAAAAGGGCTTGCTGCGGAAAACCTCAGCAAGGTTACAATATTAGATGTGAAAATGCTAAGCTAAGACGTACAATGATTGGCTAGCAAATGCACTGCATTATTTCTTCACTCACTACGAAGTGTAATTTCATGTCTTTCTGTTGTACAGTTTTTACTTTTACACATGAATAGAAACAAGGTAATCATACCTGGAATCGATTGATATCAAAATATGCTAAATGGTTAAATGTCAAGCACTAACATTCTGCTTTATCCATAGTTTAACAATTAGATTTCGCTTCATTTCAATGGGAAATATTGCTTCCGTTTGCGAACAGAGACTGAACAAAACTCATGAGTCAAGGGTCCACTGTATGACTTTTCCAATCCACAACTGTCGGCTCTAATCCTTTGTTTGGGGAGGTGACTGTTCCACTTAAAACCACACATTGAATATATTGGTTAGATAACTTCTCAGCATGTGGATCTCATCAAGAGCAGACAGACAGTTTATTTGGGATGAGACTGGAGACTCAAGCATATTCTACGTAACTATAGTGGCCAGAGCTAAGGCATACAAATAAATTCAGCTAATGTTAGCATGCATCTTTTTTTTTTCTTCAATATACACATTTTGCCATCACCTGGGCTTCCTTCTGCCATGTTTTGAAGTACCATAAGAGGGTTACCATACCTGCGTGTTTCTGACATTGTGCCCTCTTTTAAATTCTTGGGTCATGACTCGCGTTTTATTCTTTATCTGTTTCTTGCTGCAAATAACCACTCTCACAGACACTTAACAAGGTGGCTGATGGTAGGTATGGAACGATATCTAAAGCTCACAAATCACGGTTCAGTTGTCACATGGTATTTATCTCACAGTCCATTATTACGATCTTGTGCAGAAGTTCACATTATTTCCGGAAGGTTCACGGTACACAGTCCATGCATTTTCCCACAAGTTTTTGTGAAAAAGAGCTTTTCAAAAAATATCTAACTGCGGACTTCTATCCCCACCATTTGTATTTGCATTTGTATACCTCCAAAACGCTAGATTTACCTGATTGTAGAATGCTAGGCTTGTGTTCATGGTGGCTACCATGCACCTCTCACCAAAGATTACAAGGTTCACGACTAATAGTCATAAACACCAGAAAATTAGAGCTTGATTCCTACTTCCATTAACACACAACAGCCGCAACTCCACATACTGACAGGCAGTATCCCACAATTATTTTTCGGTGTGCTCACCTTTTCTACTTGTCTTTTTGCGCAGGGGAAGTCTTCGTCCACGGCAAGGCAGTTGAGAAAGACTTGCAGAGACTCGTCCACTTCGCCCATCTCGTGTAGCACCGTGGCTTTCCTAAACAAAGCCTCCAAGGACAGAACATCGAACTGAGCAGGCTATTACAATCACTGAATTTATAGCTTGCAAAATGGGACTATGTTTGAAAATCGGAATATACATTGCACCAATGGAAAAAAAAAATATTGATTTCAAACCATATGTTACCATCCAACCCTTATTTTTTCCTGGCATACTTGGCGCCAAACATCGAAAATATCATACAAAAAAAAAATATATATATATATACAGAGAGAGAGAGAGAGAGAGAGAGAGAGAGAGAGAGAGAGAGAGAGAGAGAGAGAACAACAGGAGACTGACCTACCTCAGCAGAACAGCTGGATGCAAGACAAAATTCAATGTCCTCCAAAGCAAGATCAAACTCTTTTAAGGACATATATGCTTCTGCTCTTGAGAGTCGCGCTTCTGCTGTTGTTTCGGGCTCTTTAACGACAAAGGAGAGAGAGAAAAGAGAGGCAAGAGAAATTATTTGCAAACTTCCTCTATTTAAGCTTAAGGAAAATTGAGCAACTGTCGCTATTGTTTGATTGTTACTGTCATGATTGAAAAAAACAAAACATGTTGCATAAGCCAGCGAGAGTAGCAAAAAATCTGATGGCAGCAAACCAACAATTTTTTGTCGTGATCAATGAAATTAGGCCTCTTTTTTTGAGGAGTGATGGCAACAACAGTCACTCAGATGTTAACTTGGAGCAGATGGAAGTGGTCATCACACTAAAGAACATTCCTTGTTTGATTTCTTACTCCTCCTGTGACAAGAGTTTTTCCTGGGCAGTTAGTAAATAAGTAGTTTTGCCATTTCATTTCAAGTGCTATTGGTATCCTGCACCATTAGAGCCAGCATTGGAAAGAAGTAACCGGTATTGGGAGACATTACAGATCGACAGAAAATTTGGATTAGACACATTAAGATAACATTGGACAACATTAACCGTCCATTTAATGTGACCTGACTCGAGTTACAAATGGCAGAACGGTTTTAAAGGGAAAGTCAACCTAACTATTTTATTTACAATTATAAATTTCAAGTAGAAATGTGCACACATCCCCACAAACTGTGTGCATCTTCAGAGAGATGGCCCCCTTTATTCGCAGGACAGTGCTGAATGTCGTGGTCTACTCTTTGTTGTTTCATGCTGAGTCATTACGTTGACATCAAACACTGAGCGAAGTACTGTACCAAATTATTTTCATTGTCATTATTTTTATACTTCAACAGTTTCACTGTATTCATACAAAGGTACTCAGTTGAAAAACGGGTACAAATCACCAATTACACATATAAATAATTATAATTACATCTGAATGGTGAACAGACAGAAAAAATGGACGTCACGTACGGTCCTAACATTCAAAATGCCTGCAGCTGAACTGTGCGCCTTTCAAATGCTGCTGATGTACACCTAAGAAAATACTAAAGAAAGAGTGCGTGCAACTAGTGTGACAAAAATGTATCAATCTATTTTATTTGTTGGTCATGACCAATAAAACTGGACACCGGTCACGTACTCAGTCATTGGAGAATAAAACAAAAGTTGTTGTTTCTTAACATGTTTAACATTGCAGTTTTAAAGTGAAACCAGTGAACTTCCACTTGAAAATAAAGTTTTTTATTATAAATCATCGGGGTTACATCATGGCATTTTTTCCCTGCCAATGTATTGGCACATTGTGGACAGCGTTAACACTCGATTTAAACCACATTCTGCCAGTTTACTGGTAAGAACTGTTTTTGATAGTGATGCATTTTAATGGTATAAAGGACTCTTGATTACATGGGTGTGTTGGCATGTCACAAACAGGGAGTGGTTCAAAACACATTCATACACAAAAACAGCACAAATCTCAGTCAGGTTGTTTATTTTATCGCTCGCTTACACGGGGTCGGCAACACGCGGCTCCAGAGCCGCATGTGGCTCTTTAGCGACATCTAATGGCTCCCTGGAGCTTTAGAAAAAATGTTTGAAAATGGAAAAAGACTTTGATCGTAGGCTAATATAGCTCAAATAGATATAAGCCCTGTTCACACGGCAAGATTTACTCCGACGCTGCACCGACTCTACGCCAGTGGAGCGTTCACACGTGCAAATTTACTTCGACGTAGCGCCGCTCAACAGCCTAGTGCGCATTAAATTTGATCCACCTCAGGGAGGTGGTTTAAAAATTTCCTCCGAAGCAAATGCTCGTTTGCGAAGCAGCACCGAAGCAAATGTGCGCGTGTGAACGCAACTGGCGTAAATTTGCTCCAGAGCAAATGCTCGCTTGCAGGGGAGTGGCCTCGCTACGCTCGCTACCAGACGCACGGAATCCGACCCCGGTCGACAGTAACGAGGGGGCCAGCGACACAGACGAAGCCCGGCCGTGGACCCCCGTCCCCGGTAAAAGTGTCGGCGATTTAAGCGGTGAAGACAGCGCTCACGATCAAGACGAGAATCGAGAAAGCAGTGACGTCAACCGAGCCCTATTTGCAGGCCCGAGCCTGAAGCAAACCCGACATTTCATATTTTATTTGTGAGTATTTTTGGGAGAAAAAAAACACAAGATTTCTTACGGTTAAAATAATCTACATATTTTTATGAACATTATCAATGCATTTGCACAACGAAATAACGCTGAAA